TACTTGAATTTTATAATAAAGTTCATAATTCCATTTGGCTTTGAAGTGACCATCGTACGATCTTTCCTGCAGAATATAACATCAAGTTAATTAATCCATTAGCGACAAGAATTTTTAGCTCCCGTTTGGCCATAAAATTTGGGAGCTTTTTAAAAAAATTTGTTTGTTTATAAATTTTAATTATTTTATGGTAAATGTTGAAAACAAATTTCAAATTCTTTTCAAGTAAAATGCATGTCCAAACACAATTTCAACTTTCAAAAATTATTTTTCATCTCATCTTCAAAAGTATATTTTTTCAAGTTTTAACCAATTCTATGTCCAAATGCTAGCTTAGTTGTATATTAATAGGTTTAGCAAGTTATTTTTTTCTCTCTTCTAATCAAGGTTACCAATATATTAATTGATTTTAAATATATAAGTTAATTACACTGACAATAATATTAATTACATGCAATTAATTACCATATAATTAAGTTATCTAATTAGGTAAATATACATTTTTCACGAGCATATATAGTACTTAAAAAATGTAATTAGGGCAGACCAGACCAGGCTACGCCCACTTGCCAAAAACAAAGGGAAAAAGTCTTTTTTTTTTCTTCTTCTTCTTCTTCTAATAAACCATAGACTTTAAAATAAATAAATAAAGAAGTTTGAATAAGTATTAAAGAAGCAGCATAATTTTGACAAGGTCAAAAAGATTCACCTGTTGCTTAACATCTCCGTGCAGTTCGACTCATGTTCAAATTCATGGTCAAAATTAGCTTCTTCTACCCTCAGTGAATTCGAGTTCTTGACCGAGGATGCCATGAACGCGTTCACAATGCGAGTCAAGGATACAAAAACGCCTAACCTCGGCTTATTAGTTGTTCCCTGTGCATGTTGTGTTGTACTACAGGACGTTTTATCAGCAGCTGATAATGAACATGTTGTTGTCACAGTTGAGGAAATTCCAGCTGAAAAAGATATACGTAACTCCACCTCTGAAGCTAATTCCTTCTCCTCTTTATCAACTACTGTTGTTTTTGTTGGCAGTGGATTAAGGTTTATTTCAATATACGCGCCATCGTCGTCGTCGTCTGAATCATACACAACATAACTAGCATCATAACCTTGACTGATATCATCATCAGAAGAGAAGAGGCCATGAGATGAGTTGAAGTCAAAAGAACTAAAAGAAAAACTCTTTCTTTGGTCCAGTTCTGTGCTTTTGATCATGATAACTGATGCCCAAATAGCAATATACTCTCTTTTAAATTACTATTAAGATCGACGTTGTTTTGCATGTAGACAAATTGTTGTATGAGGACGAATCAGAATATTTGGATGGTACCAAATATACATAGGTTGATGAAAAGTGAGTTGCGAGCATGTGGTAAAGTGTCACCGACAGATCTCTTAATTAGGTGTAAAATGGAATATGAAGTATCCTTACTACTTCTTATATAGTAACAAAAAATATATTGTATTTTGTTAGGACCGAAAAAATCTGGTGTCATGCGGAAGCTAGTAAAGTAAACCTTGAACGACAATGAATCAGACAAAAAACGAGAAATATACCAAAAGAGACACAAACACTCGTGGTTCGGTCAACTGACGTTAAAATTTGATGTTCTTTATCTTTTATATTTTCGGGTTTGCCTCTTCCTCGACATAACATATTTCTGAATATCTGATTTCTCCCTAATACATCTACCTACCAATAACATCCGACCTTATCCTTACCTTGTGAAAATAGAGAAGCTATTTTCGAAGACCCTCGGTTCAAGAAGATACGTCTACCTACCCTTCTATGTAAATGTGCTCCAATGGACGTACTCTTCACATATGAGTGGCGGAGCAAGAAATATATATAACTTAAGTACTTAATATATACTCACTCCATTTTAATTAAATAACATACTTTTCTTATTAGTCTTTACCACAAAAAATGATGCATTTTTATATTTGGAAATAATTTAATTTTGAACTTTTTATTTTACTCACTTGACCTTTAATGGAAAGTTTTTAAAGCCACACGAATATCATTGGCCTCACGAAGCTTTAGTCTCTTAAGCTTTTAGGACCGTATGTTTCAAAACTCTTTTTTTTTCTTAAACTTTGTATTAAGTCAAACTATATTATCTAAATTAAACGGAGGAAGTATATGTATTAATTGTTATATATCCAGCTGCCAGATAGTTATAATGGAATAGTTAATACGATAAAGGTTATTGTTTGATCTTTTTTTCGTTTTAAAATTTTTAGTTTGGCATATGTGTTTGTGTTTTTCTAAGTTGAAGAGGTCTTCAAATGTGGACTGATAACGACTAAAACAGGCATTTGACCATCTAGAACTACAATAACATTTCTGCCTCGTTATTAGTTAAATTACTAATACTACGAGTTAAACATTATGGATTCATTGGCACTAATAGTGGAATAGCCCTGAAAAGCAGTGGATTTATTTGGACTAGAGGGAACAAAAATGTATAATGAAATTAGTAGCAATCACCCTTCATTTGTTTTTTACTTATATATTAATCAAAATCTCCTCTTTTCCATGTCTAATTGCTACTATAATATCCATGGGATATTAGTCCAAGTCATGAAGCAACAACCCCAGATTCATCGCATCCTTTTCCTCCTCTTGACAAGGCCCTTCTAGCTACCTCCTACAACTTGCGGACCTACAGCTACAGGCTACAATTCCGTTTCAAATTAGATGACATATTTCGCGTATCGAGAGTCAAACTGTACAAAATTTGGCCAATATTTTAAAATAATTTTTTTTATCATATTGACATGAGAAAAGTTACAATTTATAATATTTCTCGTATAGTTTTTAGATATCTAAATTTTAATTTTAAAATATTGAGTTGGGCTAATCCAATTTAGCTTTGAAGTTTAGTCGAATTGACTATCGATAAGCGAAATATGTCATCTAAACTGAAACAGACTACCAACATATTTTGTGTGTGTTGAATAACGCTTGGGGGTCAATTGAGTTTGTGGCTCTTTACAAACGTGTTTTTAATTTTATGATCCTATCTTTTTTTTTTTTATATTTTACACAGGGGAGATTTACTTTTACACGTAAGATATTTGTCTTTTACACATAAGAAATCTAAAAAGTTTATTTTCTTAATTTTAAAATTGTAAAGGGACATGATGTACAAATATCTTTAGGTGGAGGGTTCAAACATTACTAAGGGGTCGTTTGGTAGGGTGCATACGAATAACGCTGAATGGGGTGTATTAGCAATGCTGGTATTAGTTATGCTGGCATTAGTTATGTTGACATATTTCTTATCCATTGTTTGGTTTGATGTATTAAAGCATTGCACAATTTCTAAAAGAATTGTTTGTTTACAAAAATACCCTCATAACTAGTCCATCACTTTATCTTTTTAAAGCGGAAAAGGGTTAAAAATGTCCCTAAATTATTGCAAAAGGTTTAAAAAAATCCTTCATCCACCTATTGGGCTAAAAATACCCCTTCATCTACTTTGTTGGTTCACTTATGCTCTTTGACCGTTAGGTCAATGCTGAATTTAAAAAAATTATTATTTAAATTTCACGTGGCAACTTCTTATTGGTCGAAATTAAAACATCTAACCTATTAGAAAGACCTACCCATATCTACCCGTTTTCCGGACCAATGACCAACTCGCCCCAAATATTGACCCGACCCGAATAAAAAGTTCAACTAAAAAAAAGATGCCCCACTTCCATCTAACTCTGTGGTGTCCGGGCATTAAGTACTTCTATTTTTATAATCGTGGTGAGCGGATTAACTTACACGCACCTCGACTAACATTAAGTACTTCTTAAAGACCAATTAGAACACAAGGGCATGGCTTCAATGTATCGCTGATTATAATCTCAAACAAACATAGCTAATCAAAATAAAACCAAGACCAGATAATTGTACTTCCACATCACAATAATTACGAAAAAATCGTTAACGCCGAAAACTTATACTACAGGGATATGGTGACGTGTCCTGTAATCTAGCACTCAAAATGTTTTCAGAAACTTCTAATGAATTTTTCCAAAGAAAAACTAATGATTCGAATGAGTTTCATTGCAGTTCTATAAAAAAAAGTCAAGTCATCAAACTTTCTTTGTTACTAGCAATCTTTTTCCATTCGTTGTTCGGAAATTCGCCATCAGTATTGACTATCAGGAAGAAATCGATCATTTCTAACCACTGGACTAAAACAAAATTACTAGATATATCAAACTATAATTTCATAGATAGAATTAGTACATCCATTCGGGAGAAGAGAGAATTCCCCGTGAAGAAATTGTGGTTAGGAAGTGGGGCGTCTTTTTTTAGTTGAACTTTTTATTCGGGCCGGGTTAGTATTAAGGGCGGGTTAGTTCGAAAAATGGGTAGATACGGGTAGGTCTTTCTAATAGGTTAGATGTTTTAATTTCGACCAATAAAAATGACACGTGGAATTTAAATAATAATTATTTTTAATTCAGCATTGACCTAACGGTCAAAGGGCATAAGTGAACTAAAAAAGTGGATGGAGGGGGTATTTTTAGCCTAATAGATGGATGAAGGGTATTTGTAAACCTTTTCCAATAGTTTAGAGGCATTTTTAACCCTTTTCCGTTTTAAAAGAAACATATGTTGAGGAATATTTTTATATGAAAATGGTTAAAAAAATTATTTGATTTGTCTAACTATATTGTAGTATAAAACTGAATCTTTATTTATGAAAAAGGAAATATGCTAAGTATTTATTTATTTTACTAGGGATATAGTTTTATTTCTCACTTTCTTGGATTATTTCAAACTTGCGTTAATATAATAGCATATTTTAATCAAACATAAAATTTGAAGGATAATTTTATCTTTAACTAAGCTAATGCATGCATTAAAACCCATTGCATTGTTATGCATATAACTAATGCATAGGTTCAAAAAGTATACCAAAAATAAAAAGAAAAGGATTAGAAAAAATCTCTCCTTCCTCATGCTCTCGGCGCACGTTAGTTAACGTATGCCGCCTGTGTTTGCCATGGCGAAAGGGAGAGGCAGAAGACGTGTTCGACCTAGGAAGCATCCGTTAACTACTTTTGCAAGCTCGATGGTAACTGGTAATCAACCACCGATGGAGAAAGCAACTCCACCTTCGTCAGTTCCAACTCCATCTCCATCAGTTCCAATTGCTGATCCAGCAAATGGAGGTGTTGCATGTGAAATTGAATCTACTTTGACTCATCCTAGTATCTCTAAGAGACTAGATCTAGCTTCTCCAACGACAATTGGTCATTTACCAGCTTCTTCAACAGTTCCAGTCAATGGAACAGTAAAATTGGTAAATCCAGCTCAAATCAAGTAAACACCCTAGGCACGTTGGAGAAATCAGCAGTAGAGGAGGTAATAGCAGTAAATGAAGCTGCACCTAAAGCTCCATGGACAACTTTGTTCCAGAAGAATCGATTTGCTACTAATGGTATGTCTCTATCTTATATTCCACCAAAAATTATTGATGGCCAGCCTATGGTTCAATGAGACAAATTAGAGGTGGAAGAGGAAGAGAACAAATGGAGATGTGCGTTTATTGCATATATCTTAGGGAATGGACCAGGTTATAATGCGATGAAGCAATACATCAATTTACACTGGTCACATGTTGCTGAGCCTGATTTGTTCTACCAAGATGAAGGCTACTATATTATTAGATTTCAAACTATTGCAGATGCTCAAGAAATATTATGTGCTGGTCCTTACTCAATTGCTAATAAGCCTATCATCCTAAAACCATGGACTCCTGACTTTGATTTCACGGAAGAATTCCCTACTGTTATACCATTGTGGGTCAAATTTACTAAGTTGCCTATGTCATGTTGGGGAGTTGGCTCTCTCAGCAGAATTGCTAGTGTGATTAAGACCCTTGTATTTGCTGATGAGTGCACTACTAAGCAGACTCGAGTATCCTTTGCTCGAATGCTTATTGAAGTCAATGTTACAAAAGAATTACCAACTGAAATTATGGTTATGGACCCTAATGGGAAGAAATTTCTGCAAGATGTTACCTATGACTGGAAACCTGCTTATTGTGACAAATGCTTGGTTGTGGGATACAAGTGTTCCAACCAGCCATGACCTGTGATGAAGCAACCCATCCAGACTAGGAAAGCAAGGAGTAACAAGGTGGTCATACAGGAATGGAGAACCAAAGGACCAATACAGAATGCACCTGGTCCTCAGAATATAACATCAGTTGAGAATCAACAGCAACTTGGCAACACAGTGGAGGTTGTAGATCAAAGAGACACAATAAAGGAACCTGATCCTAAGAAGACCAATAATCAACACAACATGGTACCTGTAGCTGAGAAGCAAGATGACAAAGGTAAAGCAGTGCAAAGCCCTGAACATAACCTCATCAACTTCCCACCTTTGAATCCATCCCAGTGAAGAATAGGTTTGAAGTTATACCAACAAGCAGTCATAGAGAACACATGCCACCTGGGGATAAAGGTGGAACTGCTAACCAACAATGATGAATTGGTTATTCTAGAACATTAGGGGGTGTAAATAAAAGTATATTAAAAGTTATTGTTAGGGGAAATAAAATCAAGCTAGTAGGACTTGTAGAAACTAAAGTGAAAGAAGGGAATGCTCAAAGGATATCAAAAGTTATTGTTCCTAGATGGAGTATACTGACAAACTATAAGGATGCTAGGAATGGAGGAATTTGGTTACTATGGGATACTAGTCACTTGATTATTACTGGTATTAAAAATGATGCTCAAATGATAAACTGTCAGGTAAAAAGTAGAAGAGGTGATATAGATTGTTTTCTCACTGTAGTGTATGGATACAATGGGCTGGAACAAAGAAGAGCTCTTTGGGATAATCTACAACTAATATCACTAAGCATAGCAGTACCATGCTTAATAGCTGGAGATTTTAATGCAGTACTATACCCCAATGATAGATTATCTTGTAATCCAGTAAGTTACTCAGAAATTCAAGACTTTGCTGCCTGCCTCCAACATACAACATTGACATAACTACCTTGGAAGGGTGACTATTATACATGGTCTAATAAGCAGCCTGGAGTAGACAGAGTCAGCAGCAGATTGGATAGAGTTTTTGGCAATTATGAATGGATGATGTCCTGGGGTCATGTGAAAACTAATTATGGATTGCTTCAAATTTCAGACCATGCTCCTATGTTATTAACACTTTCATCTTCAACATGGACTGGTAGAGTGCCTTTAAGATTTTTCAACATATGGGCAACACATGAAGATTTCTCTCAAATGGTGGCCAGCATGTGAAATTCTCATAGTACACAAGGTACTTTGAAATCAGTATGGACAAGTTTGAAAGACCTGAAACCTGCTTTGAAAGCTCTAAATTCTAGGGAATTCAGGGGCATCACTCAGAAAATTGAGAAGGCTAGATGGATCTGAGGACTATCCAAGAACAAATTTCACTGAATTGCGATGATTTTTGGAGAAATGGTCCTTAATTGAGGAGAGTGTCCTGCAATAGAAAGCTAGAGCAAGATGGATACAACTTGGAGACTCCAATTCTAAGTATTTCACAATAGTAATGAAGGATAGAACTCAAAGGAATCAGATTACATAAATCACAACACTATTAGGAGACAAGTTGACTGACCCTAATGCCATCAAAAGAGAGATAGTGGATTTCTATAAAAGACTAATGGGATCAGCTGCCACTTTTTTGCCTGCTATCAGCAGATCATACATGAAGAATGGTCCTACATTGTCTCACCTGCAAAGAGTTGATCTATGTGCAGAGGTAACTAATCAAGAGATTGTTGAGAGTCTTAAAACAATTGGTGATGATAAGGCTCCAGGTATTGATGGCTTTAATGCAGTATTCTTCAAAAAAGCATGGGACATTATCAACATGTAGATCATAGATGCTATAAAGGAATTCTTCTCAACTAGAAAGATCTATAAGGCAATAAACTGCACCACTGTTACATTAGTTCCTAAAGTGACTAAGCCTACCACAGTCAAAGAATATAGACCAATAGCCTGCTGTTAAATCCTATACAAGATTATCTCTAAGATCTTGGCTTCTAGATTGCAGAAAGTCATGCCATTCAGCATAAGTGAAGCTTAAGCAGGTTTCATACCTGGTAGAAAAATTGCTGACGATGTTATCCTAGCCCATGAACTAGTTAAATCCTATACTAGGGCTCAGATATCTCCTAGATGTATGATAAATATTGATCTCCAAAAAGTCTATGACTCAGTAGAATGGATCTTCTTACAACAGGTGATGGAAGGGATTGATTTTCCGGATAGATTTATCAAATAGATGATGGAATGCATCAAGACAATCAACTATACTATCCTTGTGAATGGAGAAACCACAGAACCTTTCAATGATGCTAAGGGTCTTCGACAAGGAGATCCTATTTCCCCTTTCTATTTGCAATAATGATGGAGTACTTGAGCAAATCATTGCATGAGCTTAAGAAGGATACTACATTCCAGTATCATCCCGGATGTAAGAAACTGGACATAACTCATATCGGTTTTGCTAATGACCTCTTGTTATCTGCCAAAGGTATTCTATCCTTAGTGGCCACATTATACAAATGCTTCTCTTAGTTCTCTGAAGCATCAGGTTTGCAGGCTAATTTGGGTAAAAATTCAGTGTATTTTGGAGGGGTAAAACAAGATGTGAAGGAACAGATTTTGGCCCACCTGGGATTTGAACAAGGATCCTTCCCTTCAAACATTAGGGGTTTAAATAAAAGGTACAAACAGAAGGAGGTTAGAGAGTATATTAGGGGAAATGAAATCAAGCTAGTAGGACTTGTAGAAACTAAAATGAAGGAAGGGAATGCTCAAAAGATATCAAAAGTTATTGTTCCTGGATGGAGTATACTGACAAACTATAATGAGGCTAGGAATAGAAGAATTTGGTTACTATGGGATACTAGTCACTTGATTATTACTGGTATTAAAGATGATGCTCAAATGATAAACTGTCAGGTAAAAAGTAGAAGAGGTGATATAGATTGTTTTCTCACTGTAGTGTATGGATACAATTGGCTGGAACAAAGAAGAGCTCTCTGGGATAATCTACAACTAATATCACTAAGCATAGCAGTACCATGGTTAATAGCTGGAGATTTCAATGTAATACTATACCCCAATGATAGATTATATTGTAATCCAGTAAGTTACTCAGAAATTCAAGACTTTGCTGCCTGCCTCCAACATACAACATTGTCATAACTACCTTGGAAGGGTGACTATTATACATGGTCTAATAAGCAGCTTGGAGTAGACAGAGTCAGCAGCATATTGGATAGAGTTTTTGGCAATTATGAATGGATGATGTCCTGGGGTCATGTGGAAACTAATTATGGATTGTTTCAAATTTCTGACCATGCTCCTATGTTATTAACACTGTCATCTTCAACATGGACTGGTAGAGTGCCTTTCGGATTTTTCAACATATGGGCAACACATGAAGATTTCTCTCAAATAGTGGCCAGCATGTGGAATTCTCATAGTACACAGGGTACTTTGAAATCAGTTTGGACAAGTTTGAAAGACCTGAAATCTGCTTTGAAAGCTCTAAACTCTAGGGAATTCAGGGGCATCACTCAAAAAATTGAGAAGGCTAGAATGGATGTGAGGACTATCCAAGAACAGATTTCACTGAATTGCAATGATGATTTATTAGATATGGAGAAGAGAACACTACTCAATTTGGAGAAATGGTCCTTAATTGAGGAGAGTGTCCTACAACAGGAAGCTAGAGCAAGATGGATACAACTTGGAGACTCCAATTCTAAGTATTTCACAGCAGTAATGAAGGATAAAACTCAAGGGAAGAATATTACAGAAATCACAACACTACTAGGAGACACGTTGACTGACCTTGATGCCATCAAAAGAGAGATAGTTTTTTTTTATCTGGAGCGGCCCAACATTCCACCACATTAATGCCCCCATTTGGGTTACAAGCCCATATTACTGAGCTCGGCTAAAAGAGAGATAGTGGATTTCTATAAAAGAATGATGGGATCAGCTGCCACTTCTTTGCCTGCTATCAACAGATCATACATGAAGAATGTTCCTACATTGTCTCACCAGCAAAGAGTGTCGCGCCCTATTTTTCTTGCGAAATCAGGTTTCGACACGTGACAAATCTTTTAAGGAAGGTGTTAAAAGAGAGAGTCGCCACCTAACGATTTTGAGGTGCGTTAGGAAACCTATTTGCAAATAACTCAGGTTTAACCAGTTTGCGTCACCAAAGATCGGGTAAGGGCTCGAAATTACCTTGAAGAGAAGGTGTTAGGCACTCTTCGAGGTCCACAACTATGGGTCCCGTCTGAACTCGAATTATATGAATTAGTCGATGTGATCAAATAAATGAAGAGAGAGCACAAAAATTTAAGAAGTTCATTATAAACAAGTTTTGAATAGAGGATACAACTATTTTGATTATAGTAGGAAACGAAAGAAAATGAGGGGAGGGTCCTAAGTTTTTTAGCCTAAAAGATCACCCCATGCAACATAAATAATACTTCGTAACTCCCTCCAGATGCGGTGTTACTCGTATTATTCAGAGGGCACAGACTATCATCTCATGCTACCGATTACTATCTTTAAGTTGTTACCTAAAGCGTACTAGTTCAATTATAACTCGTACCCTATGCGTGCACTACCCATCCCATGCCTATGGTCCAGCGGGCGTTTGGACCTTTATTTTTGGGTGGTTCTAGACTTAACTTAGGTTGCTCAAAATGAGAAAACTAGGCGACATACAAAGCAAGTTGGACTTCATATAAAAGCAACTAAAGGCTCACATTGAACCCCACACTTAGACAACAAATGCACGCAAACACATGAGCAAATCAGGAGATTTCAGTTCAGAACCTTAAACCTATAAACATGATTTCTAGATGACTTGAATCAGATTACAGGCAGTTTCAGATGCGAGGCGTTATTTTAGAGGCGTGACTTCTAAATAACTACACAGTTTAGGGAACCTTATATTATATGCTGATTATTAAAGATTATAAGTGTTTAAACCTATAGACATGATATCTAGGTGTTTGGCAGTGATAACTATGGGAGATATTCAAAATTATT